TATATATATATATTTGCAGGGTACAAACAAAGCAATTTTTTTTCTTTTCCTTTTTTTTTGACTTTTGAGACAGGGTCTCACTATGTAACCTGGACTGGCCTGGAACTCCTGACCCTTCTGACTCCCAAGTGCTGGTATTGACAGGCATTTGCCACCAAGCCAGGTTACAAGATTCACTTTTGTTTTTTATAGATTTCTTTCTTTTTTTTTTTTTAACAAGAAATTGGAAACAAAGGCCTCATGCATGCTAATCAGGTGCTCTACCATTGAGCTATATCCCCAAACCTCTTTTTACTTTTTATTCTGAGACAGGGTTTCACTAAACTGCCTAGGCTGGCCTTGAATATCTCCTGCAATCCAAGCTGTCCTTGACTTCTGAGTCAGTCATCTGAGTAGCTGGGATTATAGGCTTGCCCACCAGGCTCAACTAAGATTTTTTTTGGCAGCAGGAGATGGGGGTAGGATAGATAAAATCTAGTCTTAAAAAGATGTTCATGTGAGTTGGAGAGATGGCTCAGCTCTTAAGAGCACATAACTGCTCTTTCAGAAGACCCAAGTTCAGTTCCCCATACCCATGTGAGCCAACCTCCACTGTCTATCAGGAGATCCAACACTTCTGGCTTCCACAAACATCTGTACTTACATGCACAAACTCATATACAGACACATACACATAATTCAAAATAATAAAATAAATCTTTAAAGGAAGATGTTCATATAAATAGTATAAGGATAAATTATAAATAATTAAAATAACAAAAAGACAGTTAAACAAAAGTCATTAACACTAAATAAGGGGTTAGATCATAGGCCTGCTTGGTGCTTTAAGATCAGATGGCAGCCTAGAAGAAATAAGGCTGTGCTTCCCCGTCTAATCTGTCCCTTGAGGCAAAGAATTGACAAGCCTCTGTTATTACAGGAAGGTAAACCCACACACCTCTCTCCTTTGCTGCAACAAAGGAGATGAAGCCATGGAACAAACCTCAAAACTGGCTTTGCTATGACCAGGCTCCCATTCACCAAGAGAAAGTTATAAAGGGATTTTTTTGGTTCTCCCTCTCTCTGGCTCTCTCAGTCACTCTCTCAGACCCCATATTGTCCATGACAACCATCTCTATTACTCTTTTACTTTACGCTAGTTCTCATAATGAAGCTCCTCTTCAAGTGTGGCATTCCTACACCAATATTACAACTACCTAAACAAAAACCTGATTCTTAAATTTAGTTTTTAAGAGTGGGCCTGAACTCAGAGGGCACTGGATCCCCTAGAGATCTCTTGGAACATCTGTTTCCTGGAACTGTGCTGATGCAACTGTCTTGCTGGAACTCTGTCCCTGGAACTGTGTCCCAAGCCAGGCTTCACCCATGATTTTATTCAAAGTGATTTCTCTAGCTTCAATTAGGAAAGTACAAGTTTGGCTCCACCCTTACCTTAACTGATCACCCTGCCTTTCCATCCCTAGTTCTAGAATATCTCATTCACCCAGGTCACACCTCCTTCTCAGTCTTCACTGTGCAATGAAGATGGGTGTGCCTGCTCAATGCTTTGATTTGTTAATCTCAAGTATACCCACTTTCATTCATTATCTTTTTGGGTGGAGTACCAAATTGAGGTTACCAAGGAAACAAACTCAGGTGCCCAGATCACAACACAAGAGCACAAAGTTTTGCTGAAGTTAATTAAAAGTCATTAGTCCAGATTATGTTCATTTTATAAAGGCTATCCCTACATCCAAGTTTAAAAAGAAGCCTCTCTGGTACTATGCTGCATTCCTCTTAATTGCTCTCTCACCCCAAGGTCCCATTATGCTGCCTCTAGGATGATGTACTATACCTCATAATGCTCTCCCACCTCAAGGTCTGATCATGGCCCACTCCTGATCTTGAGGCGCTCTCTTTTTTTTTTTCTTTTAAAAAAAAATTTTTTTAGAAGAAGCATTTCATTACAGCTTTAACATACTCAATAACAGTTTCCAGAGCAAAGATACATCTCTTT